GCTCACTCCCCCCACAATGGGATGGGGCAGAGAATCGGAAGGGTAAAAGTGAGGAAACTCAGGGGTGAGCTAAGGACAGTTCAACAGGGAGAGCAAAAGCTGCGCAGGCAAGCAAAGCAAGGCAAGGGATTCCTTCCCTGCTTCCCATGGCAGGGGGTGCTCAGCCCCCCCCAGGACAGCCGGGCTCCATCACACCTAGCGGTGACTGGGGCAGGCAAATGCCATCGCTCCCAACGCCCCCCCTCCCTCCGCCTTCCCCCAGCTCTGTGTGCTCAGCATGACGCCGTGGGGTGTGGGGTACCCCTGGGGGCAGTCGGGGTCAGCTGTCCCGGCCGTGTCCCCTCCCCGCTTCTTGTGCCCCTGGCGGAGCTGAGAGCTGAGAAGTCCTTGGCCAGTCTGAGCACTACCCAGCAACAACTGAAACATCAGTGAGTTATCAACATTATTCTGGTACTAAGTCCAAGACACAGCACTATGCCAGGTACTAGGAAGAAAATTAACTCTGTCCCAGCCGAAACCAGGACACAAGGTATTAGCCTCACCTTCTTGAACAAACTTGTATTGTCCGTGTTTAACCTGAGCCCTTTCCAGCACAGCTCCATGACCAGTGAAATGCATATGCAACCATTACGAGTTTGTTATCTGCTTAATGTGATAGCAATTAAAATGAGGCACAGTGGGTGTTCCACCTCTCCACTGGGGAGATCGTCTTCCCAATCACCATGGGATTGTTCCCTCTTCTTTCAGATCCTTTAACGTAGCTTAAAGATAGCAGCAGGGTCTTGGTGATACATGCAATGGTAGAAACTGGTATGAATTATACTGGTATAAAATCACCTTGTGCATGAAAAGACTCTTTGGAATATTTTAAATAGGAAATAAAAGTCTAGGAGGTGGCCATATCCCATGCAGAATAGGTTTGTGTGTGTTTGCTCAAAACGATCTTCTGTGTCCTGACAGAGAATCAGACTTTGCTCCTCTTTCCTTTTTGGGGGTTGGACTAGATGACCTCTAGGGGTCCCTTCCAACCCAAAACATTCTATGATTCCTGAAGTTACCATTTCGAATACTGCTGATCTCTAAACAGGAGACAGAAATTTAACTTAGGTTAGAATGCCAAACCTCTCGGCACTGTACTTGTTTGGTACTTACCTACAAGTGCCTCGGGATCCCAGCGCAGGAAAAGCAGTGTGCTGTGCAAGGCTCAGACAAACAGGCCACGAACGGCGACAGAAACAACCGGGTACTTCACGCTGCGGCCGAGATGCAGCTGAAACAGAAGCCCCAACAGAACAAATGAGAGCGTTACTCTCAAGTGAGATCAATTTGCTGACAGCTGACGTGCTTGAGGTACTACGACATCGCAAACCCAACCCCTTATTAGTTGTATTGCTATGAAAGGTACAGAGGAAAATCCTCACTCTCAACTATTTTTGCCATATACCCCAGAAGTCCCCATTACGCTTGGTAAGAAGTAATCTTTCATGCTAGAGGGTTGAGCCAAAGCCTCCAACAAGATGATTTACTTTGCATGCTGTACCATTTCCCAAAGCCTCCAGCATGGCAGCATGGCAAGCAGCCCTGCACAGCATCACTAGGGCAGCTAAGTCACAGCACTCGAGTTTAACACAGAGAGCCCGTAACTTCGCCCAGAAGCTTTAAATCGCTTATTCCTGTACTTTTACTTCCCCTTTCCCTCTCGGCTTTAAAGGCTTTGCTTACCCTTACTGTTTGAGCCCTTGCTTATCATTACATTAATGCTTTGGTTTGGTTATTGATGGGGTGGGAGGCAGGGGAGATACATACTTTCCAACAGAATTTCACTAGTTGACTAAATATACCATGCAAATCTATTTATTCGGTGAAAATTCCAAACTGTATAAGCAACAGCCTGACTGTGTAGGCAGGGAGTAAAATACCCAACTTTTCTGTGTGTAAAACAGGTCTCCCCAGGACATGCTGTGGGCTGAAAGCTAAGCCCTTTTCGTGAGACTTGAAGTGGTTTTGTTAACCTCAAGCTTTGCTTCTCCCCCAAGTGGTTTCCTTAGCTACAAGCTGATATCTATTTAGTAGCGAAGGTTTTCTTGAAAATGGGGATCATCAGCACCGGGGATGTTTTGCTTACGCTTTTGACTGAGCTGTTTTATAACCCGACGCGTCACAGACGCGCTCAGGCTTTTCTACAGGACGCCCCTTTTTATTCTTTGCTTTTCTAAGCCTTTCTAAGCGTTTCTGGGTAGGCCATTTCAATGCCGGCACGCCGTGCTGCCAGCATGCCAGCGGGATGTGAGGATTATAACCGGTACCGGTGGCTCTCCAGACACCGCTCCTGGCTGGAGGCATCCCCGGCTGTGAACTTCACGCTCCCAATATTTGACTTTTCCACAGCTACGTTTTCTCCCCCTGAATCCGCTCCTGCTGGGAATGCATAGCCCTGCTAAAAACCCCTGACGGCCCGCCCTGCCCTTGACCTGCAGCGCAGCGACCCACGATCCGCCTCACAGCAGCGCTGCCCTGGCTTTTCAGTGGAATTCAACAGCTTTGGGGCAAAAAGATCCAAAAAACGCCTTCGAAAGCCCCTCTTAGCTTCGCTCGCCCAATGCATCGGCTGGTGTGGAGGACGATGCAGCCCATGTTGGAGGCCTAGCCTGGCAAAGCGGGCACAAGGAGGGATGAGGATCAGGGTCTTCAGCATCGTGTGAG